TCGGGTAACCCCCATAGGGTTAATCCCGACGATATCTTTCCAGATGACGTAAGAACATTTGTGTTATTTTTCCTCCTTGAAATTTACTATGGTGGAACGATAAAGTTTTGGGCGGAAGGGTTGACGTTTTGCTGGTGATGCGCCAGACAACTCCAAATTCCTTCCGGCCCTAGGGGTTGTCTTACCCCGCACCATTTGGGACACCTGAGGGTGCAGAAGACGGGAAGGCCCTCAGGCCTATTTTGCGCTCCCCAAGGGGTTACCTCCCCTTAGCGCGCGCTTCAGCCAACGCCTGAGCGTCGAACGCAACCCCATGGCTCGGAATAGTCCACTTGGGTATGGGCACCGCATAATGCATCGTCATCGCAAATACTCACGTAGAGGTGCATAGTGGATTGGTACGTGTGAGTACCACGTCCGCGCGATCTTATACTATGTCCATGCGCGCAGCACTTGCCGATCCTCGCACTAAAAGTTATGGGTCAGGCGGTGAGACCCAAAGCGAGATACGGTCAATAGGCTCGAATTTGTGGTAATGAGAAGCGACACATGGGCGAAGGACCTGTCCTAGTCGACCTATGGGAGTCCGTGTATGGGACTCCCTATCCCGGACATCGGATAGCCTATGGGTAGGACCGAGGTCCTCCTCCGCGTGCGCGTCGTTTGGGCTGGCCTACCCCTTCCATTTTGGGAGGCCACTAAACTAACGCAAGTTGGACTAAGCTTCTCTTTTGAATTTTCATGGTTGGACGTTATAGTCCGTGGCAGCCGTCAACGTCAAACCCCTTGATGTTTGACCGCCACGACAGCTTAAAGTTGTTTACTCAACCCCTCTGCACAGGGTGCAGAAGAGGGTGTAGTCTTCAACCTCACATGGCGGTTGTCTGGCGTTGAAAGATTACCCCTCAAAGCGCCTGTCAGCCGACACTCGAGTGTCGAACGCGACCCTCGAGATTATCAAGGGCCGCGAGGCTACGAGTGCCATATAGTACCCCATAAGCGCGAGTGCTTGCGTATGTCCGCATGGTTGGTTGATGTGACGAGGCCATGCGCCCATACAATTCTTATACGGAAGTCTGACGTGCGGTACCTACGTGATTTCTGTTGCATAAAGTTATGGTCGGATACTGAAGGGACTAGGAGTACTGTGGTGTCATGGTGTTGTTTGTAGTGGTTGTTTTGTGTATCTTCGTGTGTTATGCGTAGTAAGTGTGAGTATTGTGGCGTAACGCGTGGTGTTTATAGTGCGTCCTAGTCGACTAACGACGAATCGTGCTTGGGACTTCAGCCCCCCAGTGCTTCGATCCGTGTACGGGTTCGATTGTGGGCGTTCAACCGCGCGTACCCCCTATGCTACAGCGAGCGAGAAACGGCCTTGGCTGGGACACCTCTGCAATTGCATACGAAAAGACTTCGCATGTGGTTCAGTAGCTCGGCGGGGATACGCCCACCTAAGGGATGGTGACAGCTCCCGCAGGTGGAGGTAAGCGGTGCCTCGCGTAACCCTCTCTGTCGTAGGGGCTTGCGAGATGTACGGCTGACGCACTCGGCCGGAGCGGCAAACGCTCTCTGCGACAAGTCCTGCATAATCCTGCGTGACGCGGCCGGGAGGGTCCCCGTGTGGGACCGATGCGCTCGACAGGTGGCTCCGTTGCCGGTGATTTCGACTGCCTACCGGGGTCCATAGTGAACGAACCCAGGTTAAGTGCAGGCTGATGATCCAGGCAAAACAACAACCTTTGATGAAAATATTTTTTTCCCTTTGATTGACGATGATACGAGTATAATGGCATTCTTGATGGCATGTCAAATCTATTTTGATTGTGAGTAAGGTTGGAAGTATGCATTGTGTATATGTCCGTTTTTAGCAATAGAATCAGAAGTTATAATATAGAGACCTGACAGGTACTGTAGTTAAATAAAGATAGTAGTAGAATGATGAAAGTAAGCGAGTTGGAGATTTTATGGCCGATTGTTTTTTGTTAAAACCATTCATCCCTTAGCAGGTTTTTGAGAAAGCGTAAAGATGGGGGACGCTGATGGAATCGAGCGGGGCCCTGGTGCTACACCTGAGGACTTCGTCAAGGCATTGGAAAAAAGAGAGATGGTACGGCTTCAGGTGCCCAGGGTTAACATTTTTCACTTCAACGGGGATAGAGTGTTCGAGTGGCTTGAGTTGTTGGAGCAGGTCACTAGCGAGGCGTCAGAAGCGGACAAATTCAAGTTGATGCCTAGGTACGTATGGTGGGAGCTTTAGACCTGAGGTAATGAAAGTAGCAGCCGACCCGAATGGTGAGTGGGCGAAGTTGAAAGAGGAGATGCAGAGACGTTTCAAGTTAGGTGACGGCCTGCTCACCAAAGAAGACCTAGATATGTTGAGACGGGACGAGTTCTCCACAATGGGGGCCTTTGCCATGACATTTGAGAAAATGGCAAAGAAAGTCCCAGGGTTGGCGGAAGAAGAACAGTGTGTCACTTTCCTGGGGCACTTCAAGAATTGGGAAGCCTCGTCGCTAACCAAGAAGGCTGCGCCAAGAAAGAAACTGACTTGGGCCGCCATAAAAGAGGGTGTGAAAGAGGGAGAATTGGACCAGGTAGACATCTTTCAGATGAGGCAGGCCAGGAAGAAAAGGAAGGCTTTATGCCACGACAAGTGACGGGAGAGATTTTAAGACAATGGTAGAGGATGTTGTTGCCCAACTCGATGCGGAAAAAGAGGCGAAGGCAGTAAGAAAGGCTATGACGGTAACGCAGACTTATGAAAAGGCGAAGAAGGCGGTGGTGCAAGAGGAGGAAGAAAAAGAAGAAGAAGAACCCGAACCTCTAAAGTTAACAAGGCCAAAAATTTGTCCCAAGGCGGACAAGGCTCCGGAAGAGGACAAACTCCGCGGGCAACAGCTCTGCCTCCCCCAAAATCGCATGGTCAGGCTGCGCCAGGACCCTATGGGCCGTGGCTGGGTTATGGATCTCCAAGTCCTCGGCATGGTCACTGTTCATATGTACCATGGCCAATGAGTGGACCACATGGATCATGCACGGGAGCGCCGTTGAGCGCAGCTTCCTGCTGGTGTCCAGGACCCCTGACTCAACAAGTAAGCCACCCGAGCCCCCAGCCAAGCCAACCTCAACCGCCGGCACGACAGGGGTCGCAGGGAAATCAAGGCGGCGGACATCGACAAAACCAAGGATGGGGCCGAGGGCGAGGAAATGGCGGTCGCGGGGGAAACAGAAGAGGAAACGGGGGTGGCAATTCCAGTGGAAGAGGAAACGGGGGTGGCAATTCCAGTGGAGGAGGAAATGGGGATTATAATGCGTCAGGAAATCAGAGTAGTCAGGATGGCGGGCGAGGTTTTGGTAGAGGACGGATAGACTGGAGGAATGCTATTTGCTGGCATTGTGGGCAGAAGGGTCACACCATCAAGTTCTGCCATATCCGAAGGAACGATGAAGATGAAGGGCTGATTAGTACCAACTACGACGGTGACATGTATGATAAGTTTGGATACTACATTGACCCAAAGATCCCTCGTGGGTCGAGAAAGGAGGCCTTGAGACGAGTCGAGGCCGGCGAGTCGTCCGCTCCTCCGGCCATGTTTCGAATCTGGCAAGAGGAGGAGGTCCGTCCCGATAAAAGGGTTGAAGAGATAGGAGAGAATGAGGAAGTAGAGCACAAAAGAAAAGTCGGTACGGTCAAGGAAGAACCAATTGTGGTAGAATCTGACGAGGAAATAGAAAGGGGTTACTGGAATGAGGCCCGGAGAACGATGGAAAAAATGGAGGATCTAGTGGCAAAGATAAGAAGGTATCAAGACAAATTGACCAACATGTGAGAAGAGGTAAAGGAGTGGAAAGGTAAAAAGTCACTGGCATATCTCTACGATATGGGTCCAGGACCGCAAGGAGGATCTGGGAGCCTACCAGGCGTAACGATTTCGGGACCAACGCCTCGGTCCGGAATAGCTTACAGGCTACCATCAAGGTCAGGAGGAGCGCCACAGGCCGTCAGGACAAGGGCCAAGGGGCCGGTAAGCCCCAATGAGCCGGCAAAGGACGTTCCTGAGCCTAGTGGGGAAAAAGAGACAGTAGACATCCCAGAGGATGAGGATGAGAGAGATGAGAGGTTTAAGGAGAGAAGAGGATAAGAGGGCCGAGTTAAGGGCAAAGAGGGATGTTAAGGCAGACGCGGACAGAGTCCCGGAGGGGAAAATAATGAAGTATGTTGTCCGGGTAGAAGAAGGCTATGATGTAGAGGAAATGATGGATAGAATCCTTAAGGGTCATAATCATCTTATGAACTTGAAGGATGTGTTGGCTTCAACTCCAAGGCTCCGGGACGAGCTTAAAGCTCGATTATCCAGGAAGATGGTAGCCAGCGTGCGATTGGGGGGCCATAATCCCCAAGGAAGCGGAATGGGCAGAGACAAGCACGAAAATGGATTGGAAGTCCGTTGCATGTGGATGCTTGGACGTAGTAGTAAAAGGAAAAACGTGCACGGCAATGGTGGATATTGGGACGGAAATAAACCTCATAAAAGAGGAGCATGCTTTGCGCTTGGGGATGGAGATTGATCGCTCCGATAATGGAGTTTTAATGGGAGCGAATAGTCGGTCTGTGTTCATAGGAACCGCATCGAGAGTGGTTTTGGAGATTGGCAAGGTTAAAGCGAGAAGTTGTTTCTTTGTAATGCCCGATCTCGATCATCCCATCCTATTGGGCCGATCTTTCCTGAGCCGAACGGAGACCGTCATACTGAATAAGCATGATGGGACGATGTTCCTTGTCTTATGTGACCCGGTATGTGGCAACTATGAGGTTATCACATGTAGAAATACGGGGCCACAAAGTATAAGGAATAGGCCCAATCCTGGTTCTTTCACGATTGAGGAATCGGAAGAAGAAAAGAAGAGGCTAGGGGGAGATGAGTTTGAAAAAGAAAGGAACCCGGAAGCACTGACTCTTAGCCTGACCAATATAGGCGATGCTATGGACATAGTGTCAACCTATGGGATGGCGGACTCGGAGGCCGTAGAGGCCTTGAGAGAAAAGGTGATGGAACAGATGGGTGAAGGAGAGGTGGAGTTGGTGTATCGAACGCCCAGAAAGATAGGAGGATCGGCAGGAGCCCAACCCCTGAGTACGACTCGGCCTTTTTTAGGGGTGGACTCAAGCAAGGGTCACAAAGGCGGTACAAAAGAGTAGATCAAAAATGTCGCCCTGTTCCTGCGCTCGTGACTGAGGAACAAGAAGTTTATTATGATCGGGAACGAGAGTTGATACGGCAAATGCGGGAAAATGCGGAGAATGGACCATGCCGTATCAATCAAGAAACGGAAGAGGTGCTGATTATAGGGGAACCAGATTTTCTTACAGCGCAGGAGAGACAGTTGATGGTAGAGACCATGAGAGGAAAACATACTGCCTATGCCTTCAATGATGACGAACGTGGCCGCCTGGATGTTGACAAGATCCCGATGATTCGGATTCATACCGTGCCACATGAACCATGGAATCTGCGAGGTGCGAGATACCCGAATCCGGCTGACGAAGAAAAGGTGGTAAATTATCTTGACGGGAAGATCCGCTCTCATGTCTCAGACTACTCGAGTGGACCATATGCATCCCTTTGGTTTTGCTTTGTCAAACCAAATGGGACACTGAGATGGGTACAGGATTTGCAGCGCTTGAATGCTGTAACAGTGAGAGATGCAGGGGGTCTCCCTAACGCTGATGCGCTTTCAGAGGCATGTGCAGGAAGATCCATAATATCTCTCATAGACTGGTATTCTGGTTATGACCAGTTTCCTGTTTACCCTTCGGACAGACCAATGACTGCAACGCATACCCCTCGAGGGCTGATTCACATGAATGTCGCGCCGCAAGGATGGACAAATGCGGTTGTCACGGTCCAAAGACACATGGTGAGGGCAATGCAACCAGTGAGTCCTCACATTACACAACCTTACATCGATGTTCTGGCTGTGCAAGATCTATGTAAAGCCCTAGACTTGCTAAAGGAGCATAACCTCACTGCAAGTGGAACAAAGTCCATGCATTGTATGCGTGGAGCAACGATCTTAGGGTTTGTGTGCGACGAGAAGGGTCGTCGGTCAGCCACTAAGAAAACGAACAAGATTCTCAAATGGCCAACACCCTTCGAGACAATTATAGAGGCCAGGAGCTTCCTGGGAACATGTGGGTTTTAGAGAGTGTTCATCAAAGGGTTTGCGGCAAAGACAGAGCAGTTGCGAAAGCTTGTGCGCCAAGGTCAGGATTGGAAATGGGGAGACAAGCAGGAGTCAGTGATAAAGAGTCTGAAGAAAGAGTTTGAGGAAGGGGGTCTAGTACTGGGGGTAGGAGACCATGCGGCTGTGATGACCAGACCTTTTATCGTAGAAACGGACGCAGGGCCGACTGCCTGGGAGGGGTACTGATCCAACGAGACCTCAATGGAGAAGAACGGCCGCTAAGGTTTGAATGTCGAACGCTTAACACAACTTAGAGGAATTACTCTCAGTTTAAGCGCGACACCTTGGCAGTTCTTCACTGCTTGAGGATCTTCAGAAACTACCTCTTTGGTAGTAGGTTTACATTGAGGGTGGACCCAATTGCTCTAGCTGGTTCCCTTAAGAACTTCGCTCCTTCAGATCCAACGATTGCCAGGTGGTTGACGTACATCTGGATGTTTGACTTCGAATTGGAGCGTATTCTTGGGAACAAGAATAGGGCAGATGGGTTAAGTCGCGTTGACTGGGACAAGAGCAATAAAGGGGTAATTGAAGATACTCCGCCGGTCGACGGTTTTCTGGACAAGGAAGAGGACGTTAAACTCCACAGTAACTCCTGGTCATTGGCTATAGGTAACTATGTTACTCCTGAACGACCCATATGGCTCGCACCTCCAGGTCATGTACGGCGGCCGGATATAGTCCTCAAACCTTATGTTGAGGAAGATTCTTGGGGAATGTCAGGAGTGGAGTGGATGATGGAGTTGGTCTTGGCGGATAAATACCAGCTGCGGGAAGACTTGGTCACATTGGAGACCGAACCCCAGCAGGTAGAAAAGCATGAACGATCGGTAGGTGGAATGTACCTGTTGGCAGACTCGTTGCTCCAAGAAGAGGTTGCTAGGATTGAAGAAGAGAGACAAGATAGAGAGGAGAATGTGATCCATGAAGAGAGACAAGATAGAGAGGAGAATGTGATCCATAAAGGAGAGGACGATGACTTTGAAGAAGGTGAGATAAAAGAGGTCTTTCGCGCAGATTAGTACGACGGAGCATATCTGGAATTGGGAATGCTCCTGTCATGTGGAACAAAAGAAAAAGATGCTAGCGAACGAGTCCTTAAGATGCGACCGAATTTCCTAATGAGAGACGGTCATCTATTCATGAGAAGTAAAGGAAAGAATCCCAGAAGGGTAGTCTGCGGAATAAATCGACAGATTGACGTTATGGTCGCCCTTGATGATGGAACGGCTGGTGGTCATAGGAGCACAGATGCAACATACTTAAAGATTCACGAACTATATTATTGGAATGGCATGGGACACATGATCGACAAATATTGTAAATCTTGCATACCATGCCAGGAGCGGTCTTCGCTAAGACCTAGGGAACCGCTTCACCCTAGATATATACGTGAGGTCGGAGCAGTCGTTCATCTGGATCTATTAGCAATGCCTCTGGGAATAGGAGGGTTCAACTATATCTTCGATGCACGAGACAATCTCTTAGGGTTCATTGATGTTAAGGCTATTCGCATGAAGACTAGAGAGGTACTAGCTAGATGCATTGAAGAATACTACCTTCGCTATCCTTTCGTCTAAAGGTTCGTAATGGACAGAGGGTCCAAATTCACCTGTGCCGGAGTGAAAGCGTTGTTGAAAGGGTACAGTGTGACCGCTGAGTATACGACTGCGGCGCACCCTCAGGCTAACGCAGCAGTGGAAAGAGGGCACAGTACCATTACAAATCTTCTCCCAAAATGGACGGATGGCAGGCCCAATCAGTGGCCAACTTTCCTTAAGGTTGCTTTCTTCGTGGAAAATATCACTATCAGAAGGAGTACCAACTACGCGCCAGCTACGTTATGGTATGGCAGACATGCGACGTTCCCTATAGAAAGTTTCCTAAAGACCTGGAGGCGTCAAGACCTCGAGACAACCTTGTCTTTTGAGGACTTGCTTGATCTAAGGGCACGTCAAATTGGAGCCATAGAGGATAAGGTACAGGAAGCGGCAAGTAGGGTGGCTGACAGTCAAACCAAGGACAAGTTCAGGTGGGACCAATTGGCACGAGTAAGGAAGGAACCTCTTAAGGTGGGAGACGCCGTGCTGCTGTACGACTCGTCCCTGGAGAAGCCGTGGTCGAGGAAATTGGACAAGCGGTGGTTAGGGTCGTACAGGATCACAAGGTGTGGCGAGCATGGAGCGTACCCGATTGAAGAAATGAATGGAACGACATGAAAGGATTGGGTGTCAGGCTCGAGGTTAAAGAAGTTTGTCGCCCGGGATGAGGTGAGCATGGATCTCACAATATAGTGTCGCTTCCTTTAAGTGTATTTGGGGTAGTTAGTAGGATGTTAGTATTAGTGGAATGGTATGATAGGGTACCATATTTAGGTAAATTTATATATATATATATGTACAGATAGGTATTATACATAAATATTATAGAATGGAAGGGTTATATCTGTCTCCTGTTGTGTTTTGCCTAACCTGCTTACCCTCTGTGTGCTCTTGTTTTTCTCTTCCTTGTTGTGAAGGTTTGACACCATTTTGGGGCAGCCATGCCAAGAGGGAGGGGAAGGGCAGAGCCAGTGGGAACCCCTCTGGGGGCGACTAGACAGACGGCGCTGATGAGGGCCAGGAGAGAGGACAGGCCACCCATTTTTCAAGGAGGGAACACTGAGCTATTCCTGATCGAGTTTGAGAGGCACGCCAGAGAGTTTGGATGGGATACGCTCAGGATGCTGAGAGAGGTGCGAGGCGCGGGCCAGTGGGCAGAGCCCATTGCCAACTGTGTCAGGGAATCACTGACCTGGCAAAACTTTGAGAGGAAGATGGAGGGTCTTCACCCATCACCATTGGGGAGGGATGGGCAGCCCATACGCTTCGATGGGACCAACCTTGGGGATTTCTTGAGGGCATTCGACGAGTTTGCAGATGGCCACAATGAATCACAAAGCCAGAGAGTGGGAGGCTTTCTTCTGTTTGTGAGACGGCACCTCAGACCCTTCGTCAGATCTATTGTGGAGTCTGCCACAAGCTAGGGCCATTGCAAGAAGTTACTTTGGAAATCCTATACTCCAGCACGTCAGGCTGAGGAGAGAAGGAGTATGGAGAAGAAGAGGAAGGAGCCAGAGGTCACAGAGAGGAGGACTTTTGAGCAGGGCATGACCTCAGGCACTCAGAGGGATGGACAGAGGAGAGAGCACATGTTCCACAGGGATGAGAGACGAGAGGGACAGCATGCTGGCAAGACTCAGCAGAAATAGAGGCAGGCTGCAGAGAGGATTCAGGAAGGAGGGGCACCAGGTGGATCAGATGCACCTCCTCAGCCTGCTCAGGACTGCCCTATGTCAGGCGTGGAGCTAGAGCTGCCTCATGAGCCACATGAACAGGAGCAGAGTGAGGAACAGGCTGCAAGGGAGAAGGAACAGGACAGAAAGGAAAGAGCGGCAATAGAGAGAGAAATCAGAGTCCAAATCAGACTCAAGAACATTGCGGAGCTGCACAAGAAGGTTAAGCAGGGAGAGCAGCCTGTAATACTAGAAGACTGAAAAGGGAATGGCTCACCCACTCAAGGCGATGAGACTCCTCTTTTCATGGAGGCTTGGGACAACTTTGATTAGCTGTTGGAGGCAGCAAGGAGGCCCGGGGAGCAGCAGCAGGAGATGGGGGTTAAGTTGGTCTCTACAGACTTGCTTAGCCTGAAGAGCCTTATGAAGGAGGGCTTTGTGGCGGCAAAGACTTCTGATGAAAAGATGGAGAAGAGGTTGATAAGGGTGGCGCGGACGTCTCATGAGCAGAGAATGGACTGACAGAAAGAAATTGATGACCTCAAGAAGGAGTTGGAGAGGCAAGACAAGGAGATGGAAGTCATGAAGGTTGAGATGGAGAAGGTTTGGTCAGGGAATAAGGCCATCAGACATGTCAACCAGACCCTTAATAAGGTCAATGACAATCTGAGGACCTACTTGCAGGTACAATAGAACACCTTTCAAGTAAAGGAGGCGAAGTGGGAAAAGAGAATCCTGGACCTTGAGGCCAAGTGTGCACAGCAGGCACCTACTGCAGTGGTGGACTGGACAGAGGTCCAGGGGTTTGAGATCATGAAGCAACCTGCAGAGGAGGCCTTCAAGAGTCAGAAGGTGGAAGAGAGGGCAAACGAGCAAAGGGGTGAGGAAATCCCCCTGCTGGATAAAAAGATGTTGGAGCCACAAGATACACTAGCAGGAAAGGACTTAGAGGCAGGAGAGTTTGAATGGAGGATGCCCACCGTCTTGGCACACGAGCAGGGAGTAGTGAGGCCAGGGGTGAGGCCACCAACAGAGGCCAATATGGATGAGGCTGCACCACCTACGATTCAGAGAGAAACTGTGGGGCAGCAGGAGGCTCGGGAGAGTGTGGGACAGGCCAGGGTTGAGGCTGAGGTAGGGGAGGATCTGGAGGTTTCTTAGAAAACCCCACCACCTCAGGGTATGCCTCTGATTGCAGGTCTGGAGGATGCGCTGGGATCTTGGGCCACTGGATCCGGGGCAGAGGAGCTAGTGAGTGAGCATATGGCACAGACAGATGACAGAACAGCATGCCCCATTCCTCCAGAGCATCCACAGCAGGAGGTCACGAGCGAGGCTACATTAATCCCCTCATTTGTGCCCTCCCAAGGAGCTGACAAGATGGGGCAGAAGAAGTTTGGAAGATGTTTCTACTGCAAGAAGGGCAAACACCCTCAGGAGACATGTCCCAAAAGCCTCAAGGATGAGGCGAATGGCTTGTTTTCTTGGGATCCTTGTGGGGTACGTAGGGATAAGTATGGGAACCTGATCCTAAAGACTCGTGATGGGATACGGGCACAGTTGATTAGGCAGCTGCAGGAGGACATGAGTGATCAGGGATAGGGTTCTTTCATAGGGTTCGAAAACGTCTAGATTTTGACAAGTATAAAGCATCTCTGGCTCACTACTGATAGATGATTATAGAAGGGCACATGGAGGATTGAATCACGCCCATATACATCAGTTAGTTGAGTCATTACTGAGATGTTTACTTTCGCATATTGACTTTCAGGCTTAGTTGTACATAGGATGGTATTGAGTGTGACACTTATTTCCTCATTTTTACTTTCACATTTTTCAGTGTGGTGTGGAGTGTTCTTAGATAGTGTTTTTGTGTGAGTTTATGATTCTTTCTCGTTCAGAGCGGTGTGAGATCCTGGTTTCTTTTTACCTTGACTCTTACTTTGACACCTTGTTCGGATACTCTGAGTCCTTGTTGAGTACTGTGACACTTGGTATAATACCCAGACTTTTTGTGTGATACTTAGATTCTTTGTACGATACCTTGACCGTTTCGATATGGACAGGAGCCTTTGATTGTTGCAAAGCCCCAGATTCTGTGTGCATATGAGGGTCTCAAACTTCTTTCTTTTTGTGTGGTGTGTCACACTCACTCTTAGTTCGTGGACTTGCTCATATGAATGATTGTTGTGATGAAGTAAATATTGTAAAATGACCTGATCTGCACCATCTTCCTCTGTACTTAGGCATACATGTCACAATCATTATGGCAGACAAAGTCATAAGTACAGTGAAAGAAAGTGCATCTCACGTCTGTCTGAGAGAAATACTTGTGTCGTAATCTGTAAAGGCATGAATGATAATAAAATGGGAAGGTCACAACTAAAGTTGTGTCTTTTGTATGATTCGAAAGGTCGAAAGAAGGAAACTCAATGGCCGGTTGGGTTTTTCTTATATGAAAGTGAAATTGTGGAAGAGCACTCCAATGAGATGCTATAACGATGAGAAATTTTTTGTGAGTCTGACAAGGAAAGGCCAAAAATTTTGGTGAGAATTATGGATGGAAAACTTTTGGCAATTGTGATGGAACTCTGGAAAATATTTGAGAGATGTCCCTAAGACGTGTGACCTCACCTGCCCTGATCAAAGTAAGGGAGGCGCGACCTTGTGGGTTTATTGAATATTTTTGTTGGAATATTAAGAAAGGCACTATCCCTCCACGTAGTCCCGTGGGCAGTTGGTACGTGATCCTTTGGTTATGCTGGAAGCTTTTGAAAGAGAATGTCAGACCACAATGAAGTCGGTCTAAGGGACATATTTTGTGAGGCCAGGCTAAGGGGCTATACTTAGCATCGCTGGAACTGTAGGACCTAACTCCCAGCAAGGGCCGCTAACCGGCGCAACCTGGCAGCGGGACCATGGCTTACCAATGGTTAAGCCTTGAAGGGTCGGCCACCCAGAGAGGTTTAGCTAAAGAGAAAGTCATTGGGGTCGATTGGGTCAAGAGTTGGGACCCTTCGGGGTGCCAAGATAGATAAAACTGCTTATCGTTGCGCAACCAACGAGGGCACTGCCGTCAATATAACAACGTGGTAGGCCGTAGATCTGGCTCGATCAACCAGACTATGGTGGGCCAGGATGGAGACCTAGAAGCCGCCTGTGTTAGACTCCAGGTTGGGCGTTCATTATGAGTGGGTACTTGAGATGGTACTAACTACCATTTTGGGGACTATAGGTGCCCCATATTTGAGAGAGGTCTCGGTTAGGGCCCGCATCCTAAGTTATGACCCTGCTTGCAGGACGATGACTAAACAGGACACCCAACGGTGAACCGGCAGATGTCTAAGGCAAAGGGAGAGAACTATCAAGCTACTACCTGGGAGCGGGCATTACGCTGTAGTACGGAACGAAGTATCCCCAGAGTTCGAGGCCAGGACGTGGGAGACCCACGTTGAAACCCTGGCAGTGGAACACCGTGACGGGGGTAGATTGATGGAATGCCTCGAACGGAGTCAAACTGGCTAATCGGATTGGTCAAATTCCTTGCCAACAGATGTGATTTGAATTGTTTATAGCTTTTGGTTTGACCGACGCGACGGGGACGTTGCTTAATAGGGTCCGGAAAGACCGTCGGCACCATTACCCTTACAAGGGTAATTGTGCGTGTTTTTTGCACCTCGCAGGAGGGGCACCCTTGATGATATTTGAGAGAGTGACGTGCCTTNGTCGGCACCATTACCCTTACAAGGGTAATTGTGCGTGTTTTTTGCACCTCGCAGGAGGGGCACCCTTGATGATATTTGAGAGAGTGACGTGCCTTAGGCTCGACCACGACTGACTCTTGGAAGTCAGGAAGTGGCGGGGGCACGCTTGGATGAGTCAGAGAGTGTGTGTGTGGGCGTGCACTTTGCGGGCGCGCGTTAGTTAGATGCTTGACTACTGTGAACGAACGAACCGGTCGGCAGTTTAGGTCGGGGAAAAAGTCAGAATTTGGATAATGTTTGCGTAGGTCACAACCTCGGGCGCGCTGACGGAGTCATGGCCAGCGCAGAAGTTAATCGTTGAAGCCACAGCTAGAGGTGGATTCTCATTGACTTACTGAAAAGCCGGCAGGCCGCACCGCGTGGGGTGTGCAGGGCACAAAGGTTAACGACATCGGAATTGCCAATGAGATTTAGCAGAGAGGACATGAGAAAAGGCCGGGGTTTTTTCCGGCTTGGAAACGGTAAAAGAGCGGCCTTTCCAAGGAAGAAGGTAGTGTGAGGGAGCTTACCTGTTGGCAGTGGCGTCGCGGGCTGAGTGTGCGATGTGTCGAGCAAAGAGCCGGCCCCAAGCAGCGAAAGCGTGACATTGCAGGGCTTGGGCTCGAGTAGTAAGCCAAGCAGCAGCCTTGGTGCAATTTGGCAGGCCCGGGCGGCCTGCAAGTGCCATTGATATGTGATTTCGCGTCTGTTGTAACCAGACTTGGGCTTAGCCCTATTGGTTACAGCATTGGACTTTCAACTTGGAGATCCTGGGATCGAGGCCGGCACGCAGCAGCAGAGGAGCGGAGGAGCACTACGGAGTTAAACCGAGGGGTCGAGGGTCCCGAGGGACTATCCCCCTTGGTTTTGCGGGGAGTTCCGACCGCGGGCCCGTAAGGTGGGGCCGAGGGACGAGTCCCCACGGTTCCCCTCCCCCTAATCCGATTTTTCCTAATTTTTCTAAAATTTTTGTATTAATTATTATTTTTATTTTTATTCTTTTCTTATCTAAGTCCCATCTTGGGACGTGACCCGGTATCGGTCCGTAGACCGACTGTGAGTCCCAAGTGCCTAGCTCAGTGGTGCACTCATGAACTGTTGAAATACGAACCTGCGTTCGAATACAGATGACCAAAATAAAATTATTTAGATTATCCGACGCCCGCCGGGTCTATGTCGGTATTTCAAGGGCACGACTTTACGCAAGAAAGAGGGAAGTGCATGTGCATGGCCGGGGTGCAGATCAGGTGCACCACCCACCGCATCGCTACTTGAGTGTGAGTATGCCCATAGAGGCCCACGGGATGGTTGACAAGGCTTGAGGCCGTGACCAAGGGGATACAGCGGACACCAACTTCGATTTGCTGAGTGAGGCTTGGGTGTGGGCCTGCCCGGTTTCAATTTACTGAGAGAGCTTTGTGTGTGGGCCTGCCCAGTCCATTTCTGCAGTAAGAGGTTAGAGTGTGAGCGTGCCCATTGAGGCCGGTAAGGCATGGGACCGGTTACACGGGTTTTCTGAGGTCTCAAAGGTACCGTTTTGTGTATGACCACTTGACGATAACCTCAGTGGTGTAGCCGCGGGATACGGAAATTCACTGATGCCTATTTTAGTTGTCTTTTTATTTTCGGCGCTGTTTTTTTTTCTTGAATTGAAAAGCTTCGTTGGCAAGAGTTTTTGTATAGTTGTGGATAGTGCTATGTGATCAGCGAAAGTACAAATTTGTTGTTCCTACAGACGGCCAAGGCTTGCCCCATCTGAAAAGGTACAGTAGTGTTGGCTGTGCGACCCAAGCTGTCCCAGCAGCTGTTCACATGGAGCCCGTCCCCACTTCGATCACGGTCCTCAAAGTACTACCACCAAGATCTGCATCGAGATTTGCCTCATCTAGGCTCACACTACAAGCTGTGCAGCAGGCCTGCTCAATCCACTATCGGGGCTGGACGATTCGGTAGGCAAGTTGTTACACACTCCRTAGCGGATTTCGACTTCCATGACCCCGTCYTGCTGTCCGWATCAGCCGACACCCTTTGTGGTCTCTGGGTTAGCACACAGTTTTGGCACTGATGTGGGCCTGAGGCGTTGTGGTGGAGGCCGCARCTATTCCTCAGGATGGCTGRAGMTGTTTAGTGGGTYCACCACGCAGCAGTAGGACTGAGCGCTGGAAGTACCATCGGACCTAGAACAGTTGGTACACCCTGAACTGATTGGAATACAGGCCCAAGTTCGGTTTCCATTGGAAGCAGATGAGTAAAGTATTGCAATTTCGGACTACCAGGGACGGTACCRGTTCCACAGCCAAACCAGAACCAACAAGCCTAGAACAGGTGGTAGACCCCAGAACCGTTGAAATACCGACCGGGGTTTTGAATCCAGATGAGGGTTGTAGATGAATGCAACCCGATATATCTAAGTTGCTTGGTTTGCCTGGGGCCGGTCAGCTCCATGATGATATCCCAAGGCCGTTGTCGCGACCTGGTCCTTTGGGACATCTGTTAAAATTGGAACGATGCAGAGAGAATTAGCATGTCCCCTGCGCAAGGATGACACCTATAAGTGGTGGGGAGGGTAGCAGGTCCACCGTTGGCCTTCTTTTTTTGTKTTCATTTTGTTGATGGAAAGCATGGGGGGGGTTGTGCAGCGCTATCAGGGAAAGCAGGAGGYGGAAGACAAGGACGGGGTGGACGTCGACAAAACRACGAAGAAAACGAAGTCGGAGAGAAGGAGGGAGATTGAGAGGTGTAGAATGCTTGGGTCGCTCATTTCTTAACGGATTTCGGCAAACTAAAAGCCGAATCCGAGTTTTTTGGCCAGGGCGATTCTGTTAGTAGTGTTAGTTTTGATGATCGTTTAGWAGGATAGGGGATAGAGGYGAAAAATAGGTGCGCGGAGTTGTTGGAAGGCTCGRATATGATGGGGGCRATGGTTCGTTTCTCGCCCGTTTCTTSGTAGAAACGGGCCAACAAATACTCRATTTCAGGGTTTGGAGGCATTGCGAATCTGATGGCARCATCAGATCTCGCGTTCGAGCAATGGTCTGGCCGGATTCAGCAGTATGGGCTGCGCGGCTGCTATGAAGAAAAGTCGGGAGAGTGACGAGGGAGAGAGCTCGGTGAAGTAAGAGGGGGAGGAACGNGCCGGATTCAGCAGTATGGGCTGCGCGGCTGCTATGAAGAAAAGTCGGGAGAGTGACGAGGGAGAGAGCTCGGTGAAGTAAGAGGGGGAGGAACGCGTGGCAACGAGTGAGATCATGATCACATTACCAGATCTTCCTCACGCATGGCACGATCCAAGTCCTGCCATTCCTCATGGTCATGCTCCCGAAGTTGCGGTGGTTAATTTTTCGAAGAGGTCGTCGCCATTGGACGTTGTAAGTAACTTCTCACTTCGCTTTGTCGAATGAATCAAGCAGGTGTTGTGGCCATTCGATTGTTGCTCATCATATCGAGGAAAGTAGCCTCCCTCGATCTCTTTG